CCATTCTAGAGTAGTCTGTTCCAGTGGTGAATGTTTAGAATTCTGCGAAGTTTGTCGTACACACCTCTCCCCTGCCCTTTGCATGTCATACTCTATCCTGCCCTCACATATTTCTTTCCTGCCCTTTGCCCCCAACTCCCCTGCCCCATACGCCTATAGAAGTCCGCCTTCTATCCCTGTCCCTCCACCCTCCCCTCCACTCCCTTTGTGGTCCTAACAAACACATACGAATGAGCATCATTAAGATAACAGACGATATGAAGATCAGAAATGAAATGAACGGAAGTATGGAGATGAAGGACGGACACAAAGATTAAGTATAAGCTGAAGATCTGAAGTGAACACACACACACACACGAAAAAAAAAAAAAAAAAAAAAAAAAAAAAAAAAAAAANTATAAGCTGAAGATGTGAAGTGTGAAATGAACAGGAGTATGAAGGCCTGAAGAGAAATGCACAGGAGCATACCTTCTTCCCTTTTATATAAGCTGAAGATGTGAAGTGTGAAATGAACAGGAGTATGAAGGCCTGAAGAGAAATGCACAGGAGCATACCTTCTTCCCTTTTACTCTGCCTCCTGAAATAACGTGCAAGTGGGCCGTGAAGGGACACGGGCTGTGGGCAGCTGCCGCTCAACCACAATCAACGTGGGCAGCCTTGTACGCAAGAGGCACAGTAAAAGGGGAGCTGCGAGAAGAAATAGAAGGGGTACCCCAAGGACAACCAAAAACTGTCTAAATTCTAATTATAGAATTGCTTTAATATCTATCTTGGACTGTCTCATCTCAAATGCTCTAGTTGTCTGCAATAGGACAAAGATTGCTTTGATTCTGAATCTGTTCATCTGTGTGGAATTGGGGCTGTTGTGGGGGAAATCTATAACACGCACACACAGATTCCGCATGTGTGTGGAATGACAGAGAGAGAGGGCCTCGCCTTGCTACACAACACTATACGTATCTGGAGTTCAAACTCGTCCCAATGCATTCAAAATGTTGGACTCCTCTGAATGCACCTGCTGGAGCAAGCATCCAAAATTCCAATTGCATGTAGAATGTTGAGTAGTGAGAGAGAGGGCCAGAGAGAGAGAGAGAGAGAGAGAGAGAGAGAGAGAGAGAGAGAGAGAGAGAGAGAGAGAGAGAGAGAGAGAGAGAGAGCATGTGTATTTGTCTGGGTGTGTTGTCATGTTCGCTTACACAACTCCACAAAAAAAAGTGTGACTGTGCCAGGCCGTTTTGTCGGACTTTCACCGACTCATCAGGGGGTTGAACCTGGACAGTCAGTCTGCCCAGAATGCATTGGAATCATTTGATTGATTTTTGTATTTTTATTTTTTATTTTTTGATTCCTTGTTAAATCCTAAATCTCTTCAAAAATTTACAAAAAACAAAGGAGGGTATCCCAGAAGTCGGGACATGTGCCTGTAATGTTTTTTTTTCCAGGGGGTTTAGTGACCCCTGAAACAAATCTACGGCGGGCCGTTCGTACCAGCCAAACTGGCTCCGTTTGAACGTCCGAATGGCCTGCACAAAATACCCCTGTTCAATGGACGGAGGTACACATAGCTTTCGAGTCTTTCGAGGGGATGTTGTAATTCTGTTTGCAATAGTCAGCTATCTTGGAGTTTTGCAATTTTTTATTTTTTTTTTTTTATTTTTTTTTTTAATGGGAACAAAGCACCAATCTATTCGTGGGGAGCAGCACGTGCTGGGAACCGGGCCCAACGTCCCATATGGAGATTTACAATTTTACATAGAATTTTGAAAATTTGAGATACCGGGGCCATTACCCGGCTTTGACCAAGAAAAAAAAATAGTGAAATGTTAAGAAATTTCGACCAATTGATTCTCTGGGATCTTGCCATTACTACTATTTTAGTATTTTTTATTTTTTTGGGACTATATGTTGATTTACGCGTGTCATCCTTGTGCAGGGCAGGGGCCATGCTAATCAATCTTCTCTGTATCATTCCAATTTTAACCCGAATGTCCCAAAGGACTTGCATTGAGTCATCGCTCAGAGACCTTCATGAACCCTTTTTTTTTCAATAAAAAAAAAAACAGGTCCTTATGGCCCTGGCTAAAAATAAAAAGAAAATTGGAACTACTTTGAATGTGTTCTTGCATGTGTTCTACAGTCTTCCCCCGAATACAACGTACATCGTACGATGATTATAGCCTGAATTTAGACTGAAAGATCCACCAAATTCAGCTATAATGACCGTACGTTGTATTCGGGGGAAGACTGTAGCAACCAACCACCCAACAGTAAAGAAAGGTACCAGTTTCTGTTGATCAAGGATGTGCCATGGAGATTTTTTTTATTTTTTTTTCGCAAGGCCCGGGCAGGTCTACTAGGGGGGGGTGATACGAGCAAGCCTCCCCTACCGGTAGTAGGCCTAATCCTGCCCACTCCGTCTATTGGTGGGGAGCCTCACCTGCTGGAAAACGGGTCCAGACTCCAGAGCATGTGCCATGGAGTTGGAATTAGTGAAATGCAATTTATTTTTTTTTTCTAATTTTTCCCCAAACAAAGCAGAGGTCATATAACCGGGAAACGGGTCCGGCATCCCTTACATCATTTGCTGTGGACAAACGGGCTAAGCAAGGCACTCTCGGCCAAACCTATCCCTACCGCAGCCCCACAAGGTCATGAAATGTGAATTTGTGGTTTTGCCATCTGTCACATTCAAGTAAGTTTGCACTCTGCCCCAAACCCTTGTGACTGAATGATACGCATGTGTAGCTATTAATGAACGGATCATGAGTTCGATCCTGATTGAATCAGATGAATACAATATGGTTAGGGCCTACCTCCTTGAAAAGAAGGAAGAAAAAAAATCCTTAGAATTTAGAAATGAAAAAGAGAAAAAGAACGCTGCTATCATCTGACAAACTCTCTGTTTCTGTGTTGGTGTGCATGCGTGTGTGCAATGCTTTTCCAAGTGTCTGTGTATGTCTGTCTTTTTCCCATTGATGTTATTTGCATCAGTTACACAAATACTCAGTGCTTTAACAAACAGCCGGATTGGGTCGGGAGTCCCAACAACCCCAAGGCCTGGGCGTATTATGGCCGGGCACAAGGACACAATTGCAGGTTCTCCACTTCTCCTTTATGATCGTCGCCCCCCAAGCCTTTGTCACCCCTCTCTCTCATCCTGTACATACCTTAGTGTTTTGGCCCTCGGGCGGGTTCTCAAGCCATGCAGGCCGTGCTTTGAAGTGCAGGTCTGGAGGTTATCTAGTGAATGGTCTAGAGTCTACACACCTGCTGTTAAACCACCAGTACCTTTCCCCGCTTGAAATCTAAGGCGCGCTGGGTAACGCGGTAGCCAAGCGGGGGAGGCCCGCCGTTGATGAATCGAATCTGCGCCCCGCTTTTCGTTTCGGGCCTCCGACACCACCCGCGGCTGACGTATGGGAAAGGTACTAGTGGTTTAAACTTTAAACTTTAAGCCACCGGTTCACATGAACCTAAGTAGTGCTCCTACCGGTATACGCGGTAAGAGCATTTCAATTTGGGCCAGGCCGGTAGCAAAAGCGGCGGCAGGCCACTTTGAAAAGGTGCAGTTGCAGGCTTGCGACCCTTGGAAGGTAGCTTCGTCAGGTTCGTGTGAACTGGTGGTTTAAATTTTAAAGTTTAAAGTTTAAACCACAAATAAATCTGAGCCTCTTTTTTTCCGAACCAAAATGACTCGTTCCTAAAGTTAGGGAACTAGCCCCAGGCCGGGTCTGGGGCCGGGCAGAGTTCTTTTTTTGTCCGACGCGCACTAATGCCAAGTTGGCAACCCTAACGCATGGGACACTTTTTTTTTTTTTCTCCTTTTTTTCTGCCCGGCCCCAGGCCTGCCATGGGACGAGTCCCCTAACTTTTAGGAATGACCATTTTTTACTCTAAAAGTTTGCCTGGGTGGTGTAGTAGTAGTGGTTTGCGATGAGTCGAAGACTGTGTATGCTCGGTACATCACCTATGTCAATTCGACTTTTGTTTTGTTTTGTTGTTTTCACTTTCAAGTGTTCTTTTTCTCTTGGTCCATGTTTCTTTTTCTTACTTACGAGTCGGGGTTCCTGGTGTGGGCCAGAAACTCCTCAAATAACCACCTCTAGATGCTGTCTTCCCCATTTCTTTGATGAGGACAAGGGTTACAGCTGTGATATTTTATCCATGGTTGGCTGGCCCCATGTCGCCGTTGTTGTTAATCTTTTTTTTTTTTTTTACAGGAAACCTACTTAACGAGGTGATAAGAGCATCCCCGTTAAGTAGGCTCCAGCGTCGAAGGCTCCATCTATTGGTGGGGAGCTACACCTGCTGGAAATCGGGTCCAGCGTCCCTATACAGAGATGTTTTAATATCTCCTACTTCCTATGTATGATCGTGATTCAATATATGTCGATTGATGGTAATACCCTATCCATCTGATGTACAATTCTCAAAAAAACGAACTAAGACATCATCCCAATCCTAACAAACAGACCAGGCGACGAAGCCCTAGCTTTGATATGATGTGATATGATATGATATGATGTGATATGATATGATGTGATGTATCAGCTGGAAATTAGGGCCAGCGCCCCTATACAGAGATGTGTTGATATCTCCAACATCCTATGTATGTTCGTTAATCACTATATGTCAGATGATGGTAGACCCCTATCCATGACATCTATAGATTCTCAAAATGAACTAAGGCATCAGTCCCACTCCTATCTATCACGCCAGGAGACAAAACCCTAGCTTTGATATGATGTATGTAAGCTGGAGATCAGACCAATCAGGTCCAGCGTCTGCAATCAAGGATGTATTGTATGTCGGGTGGGAGTCGGGCCCAGCGTACCTACACAGTGGTGTGTGAATATGCGAAACACCAAACAAAGATGTATGTGATCTAAAACAATGAATCAAACCACCAAACCCTACCCGTGCTATGATGTGAATGCTCGGAATCAATCAACAATAAGCGTGAAACCCTATCAACATCCCTTATGCAATCAAATGTGGAATCATCATACTACGCTTTATCTGAAGAGAGCAGGGGCAGGCAAGAGCAACCACCATCGTCTATCCTACTCCTCCCCTCTGCCGGACAAAAGCGTTCAACTCCATATCAAGGTTGGGGGGAGAGAGGATAGTAGACCTATTTTTGCAGCCGATCTCGGCACTGGCCACCTTGCTGATAGCGAACATGGATGCGCAAGCACCGCTCCCTACCCCGCTGCTGCTGCCATGATTGCCGCCACCGTCTTCTTCGTCGTTGTTGTTGTTGTTGCTGTTGCTGTTGCTGTTGCTGTTGCTGTTGCTGTTGCTGTTGTTGTTGTTGTTGTTGTTCTCTCCCGCCGTGCTGATGGCGATCATGGATGTGTGAACACCACTCCGTGCCCTGCTTCTGCCATGGTCACCACCCCCATCTTCACCCCCTGCCCCGCTGCTGCCATGATCGCCGCCGCCGTCTTCGTTGTCGTCGTTGTCGTCGTCGTTGTTGTTGTTGTTGTTGTTGTTGTTGTTGTTGTTGTTGTTGTTGTTGTTGTTGTTGTTGTTGTTGTTGATGTAGTTATCGCCATCGTTGTTCTCTCCTGCCATGCAGATGGTGATCATGGCTGCGCAAACACCCCTCACTGCCAAGCTTCTGCCATGGTTGCCGCCCCCATCTTCATCGTCGTTGTTGTTGGTGTTGGTGATGATGTTGTTGTCATTGTTGCTGACGTTGATGTCTCCATTGATGTTGTTGTTATCATCCTTCTTGCCCTGCTCCGATTCCTGCTCGCCGTCATCGTTATTGTTATTGTTGTCACTGTATTCCACCTTCTTGCCCTTCTCTCCTATTTCTCCCATTCCCTGCTCGCCTTCTTCGTTGTTATTGATGTTGTGGCTGGCATCCTTCTCTCCCTTCACACCCATCTCGCCCATTCCTTGCCACTCCTCCATCACCCACTCACCTGCCTGCTCTTCCTTCTCAGTAGCGACCTGATAGGAGAGCGCCGTCAGGTTATCCCACCATCCGCTCCCCTTCATGCTCACCTCTGTCCGACATAGCCGCATCACGGCTCATCTCTTTTCCTCTTGTGGCTGTAGTCCTTCCCGCTGCCGCTGCCGGTGGCGTTAGCTCCAACTCCACCTTCCACTCTCCTACGGCCCACCCTCCGATCCGGTCTCCGATATCCTGATGCAGATGCGAGTCACTGTCCGCACCGGTACTCTCATTATCAACCATCAGGTCACCCCCCCATCCAGTATCCCCCCCCGTATGCTCATCTCTGCCCCGCAGTGGCACGACAGCTCCCCAGCTCCTCTCACTTTCGATTTCGCAATCATCGCAGACTGCACAAATATTTGCGTAGTAGTTGACCACGTCATCCTCTTCTTGCCCACCATCGTCTCCATGCCAGACGTCGTCATCAGTGTCAAAATAGTTATCTTCATGATGTAGCTCCCCTACCATTTCCATCGCCAATCCAGATAGCTGCGCCTCTATGTGTTTCGTCTTCGATGTCACGGCTGGCGCTACCCCTGCCCGCACGTCACGGTCATCCATGTCACCAACAGCAGCTGCCACGTGTCCCATCAAGGAACCACGCGGGACTGCCGGGCGCGTGCACAGGCCTAGCAGCCGGGGAGCTCCTCTCCCCAGGCGCTAGTCTAGCCGGGAGGACCAGGCCTTGCCGGTCTGCCGGCCTCAGGGCGCTAGCGCTAGCGCAGCGTATCTACCAGTTTCAGACTTGTTCAGACTTATTCTGGTAGTCACAGTTCACTGTAGGATTTTTCATAAAGTTTCCCCCTCCCACGTCCCCCCACCCGCCCTTTCTTTTTTTTTTCTTTTTCTTTTTTTTTTAACTACGCTATATTCTTCTCTCAAATCTTTCATCATCTTTCAAATTCTTTCAATTCAGCTTCACTACCCACCTACCTCTACTCCTAAGGCTTATACAGGGGACCCCTGCGAACATAGCTTTGTTGTACCCCTCCGGCCCCCCATCAGAGGGGATGCATGTTGCCCCCCGCCCCAACCGTGGTGGACAAGGATGGGGTGGGGCCACCAGTGGGGGTCCGGCTAACGCAAAGACCGAGCATTTTGCCAGTAGCTGCGCCTCCCTTTTCATCATCCCCCACCCCCAACCGAATAACAGCAGTCCAACACTCTCCCACACACCACACGCAACCCACTCACACTCGCACTCACACCCGTGTTGGCCAAGGACACTGCTAATACCGATCAGAGGTATCAAGCGGCCTAAACTTCCAAATAAGATTTTATCATTTTTTATGGCCGTTCAGATGTCGTGTGTCAGCCAGAATCAACTGTGACCGTTTTTGTAACCCAATGGACATGGATGGACCCCGCCTTCCCGTGAGCTGGACCCTGTGTGATGTGAGGGCGACGCATCTTCAGAGAGCAGGCACCACAGTGTCACACAGCACCTTTTCGGAACCAGAGGGCCGGCAGGACCCAGCACTGCCCCTCTCTGGAAAAAAAAAGGGGGGGGGGGGGGGGGGGGGGGGGGGGGGGGGG